TAGTATGCTTCAAATATAAACATTCTCAAATATCAAAAGAATCAAAATTTATAAAATGGGAAATATTACACCTACTTAACTTTCTAATATAATGAGCCACGGCTGATCCTGTGGTTGCTTCAGCCTCTTACATGTGTACACGTGAGCACGCACACAGGCGCCATCAACCCTAGCAGCCTCCTGCAAGGCCTTCAGCCTAGTTCTCCTCCACGCCCCTCTCCAACGCCCTGCTGGTCTTCTCCAGCACTTAGCACAAGCTGTTTGCACGTGCATTCTGCCCCTCCCTACCCTTTCCAGTTGGGTGACCTTGGGCAAGGGATCAAACTTGCCCAAGCCTCAGTTCTCTCATGTATCTGATGGGGATAATGATCATGTCCTCCACTGCAGTAGCTGGGAGCTCCAGTGGAGTTAACAGGCATTTGTGAAACACTTGGAAGGGTGTTTTCCCACAAGTCTGCACCTACTTGCAGGGAGAGCCCTATTGGTTTGCGCTTACTGTTGTTGCTTTGGCACTAGCAGGTACAGGTCCTGGCCCATGTGGTCACTTGTTACTTCCTTGAAGAATGAATGGAGGAGCTGTAGCTCATTGGTAGAGCGCCTGCCTCACATGTGAGGCACTGGGTTCAATCCTCAGCAACACATAAAAATAAAAATATTGGCTGACTCTGTCCCATGCCAGTTCAGCAATTGCTATAGAAGAAATTGTTTAAGTGCCCCCAACTTGGAAGGTAGAAAATGTGGGACATCAGAGAAGAGCAAGTTGGGCCAGATAATGAAAAGTGTGGACTGAGAGAGCAGATGACTGAGCAGGGAGAGAATAATCATGTGCCATAGCCCAGGGAGAAGAGGAGAGGCTATTTATTCATTCATTCAGGCAGCAAAACTAGAAGTGCTGACCTGCACCCTCCACTGGCTCTTCTACTTACTCCTTTCCTCTCTGACCTGACTCTGGCCCCTGTAAAAAAAAAAAAAAAAAAAAAAAAAAAAAATTACAATAGTACTTACTCTTCGGTCTTAAAGGTTAAATGAGCTTAATGCAGGTAAAAGCTCAGAACACAGGCATATGACAGGCGTTCAAGTAAGTGTGTGCAGAATGGCTAAAACAAAACTACACTACCAACATTGATTGACTGAAGGCCTATGGCAAGAAGCAGGCTCAACAGCAAAGGAAATAGATCCTGCCCTATGCTATGGAATGGTCTAGAAGACAAATTATAGAATGGTCTAGATGCAATTATAGAAGCCAATATCCCTGTTATTTATGWAAAGGATGAGACTAGCATACAGTTGATTCATTTACTGCTTGCTACAGCCAAGAAGAATATTGTAATGGTAGATGTCCAATGTTTAAGATACAAACATTTGTCAAAATGTCATGTTATATAGATTTATATAACAGGGAACAGAAATCCTCCTTCACTATTCTACTATAAACCACTTGCCACTGCTAATCACAGGGCTGTCTCGGCCACAATGCTCCAGGGCCACTCTCGGGATGCAGGTGTCTGTCTTCAAGGACTTCTTGGTCTCTGGCAGCAGACTCCCTATTGCAGGAGCTAGGTGGCCAAGACAAAAGGGGCTATGAGGGCTCCTGGTGAGGAGGTCAGGGCTGGGAACCAGAAGGCAGCTGAGTAGGCCTGTCACAAGGTACACAGTCCAGGCAGCATTATGCTGAGCAGGTCTGAGCCCACGGGGCAAAGCCAGGTATGGTCCCCCTAAGGAAGTCAGGCCCGAGTTGGGGAAGTAGCAGCCTATACCTAGGCACAGCAGGGTTGGTGCAGGCAAGAAAGGAAAAGTGGTCTGCAAGGGGACAGTGATGAAAAGGCCAGCAAGATGGCATCCGTTTGGGGTAGCTAGGTGTGCATGGGACAGGGCAACAGGTGACTGCAGACCAGGCAGGAGGCCTTTCAAATGGTGAAAGCTGTGTACACTCTGAAGGAGAGGCCACACAGGGGACACTGACTCATAGCCCTTCCACCCCTCTGCAGCAAGGAACCCAAAGAAATCCCCTGGAATTCTGTCGGGAGCCCCTACGTGGTGGAGTCCACAGGCGTGTACCTGTCCTTAGACGCAGCTTCAGTAAGTGGGGGACATGTGCCCAGGGCTGGCTGGGGGCCACTGCACATAAAACACCTGACCCCTGGGCTCAATCCCTAGGCACACATCACATCAGGGGCCCAACGTGTCGTCATCACTGCACCCTCACCGGATGCACCAATATTCGTCATGGGTGTGAATGAGAAGAACTATGCCCCTGGCTCCATGAACATTGTCAGGTAACAGGGCCAGCAACATTTTGAAGTGTGACAAGTGCCTGCAGGACATGCCAGCCTGTGAAGAGGAGGGACTCACACTCCCTGCCCCCACTCCCACCTTTGATCCCTGGTGTTTCTTTCACATCAACCTACTCCTGCTTCTTTATTCCTAAGTCTCACGAGCCACAATGTTAATGTCACCCTGAAACTACCTATTAGAAATGCACAACTTCTGGAAAACATGCTTAGGGAGCTTCCCCTAAGCACCAGTGGTGCCTCCTTAATCAGACAGCACCCCCACTGAGCCCTCTTGTCCCCATCCTGAGTTTTCACAAAACCAGACCTGGGTGCAAACCCAATAGGGTCAGGATGAAGGGGTGGCTCTGCAAGTCAGCTTACAGTGCCCTTGTACACCTGGGTCATTGCAGCAATGCATCCTGCACCACCAACTGCCTGGCCCCCCTTGCCAAGGTCATCCATGAACGATTTGGAATCTTGGAAGGACTGATGGTGAGTTGGAGCTGAGGGGTGAGTTGGAGCTAAGACGGGAGGGACGACAAGGAAGCCCCCCTTCTTCTTCCCAGACCTTGCTTATAGTATGTATGGAATTAGCAGGGAGAGGCCCAACAATGGAGAAGCCTTTTAACAATGTTAGTCCTCTGGCCTGTACATGCCTCTCCTGTGGTCTGTAGTGGGGGCCTCACTGGCCTCCACCCCAATCCTAAGAGAATGAGGCATGGGAGCTTAGGAGTAGGAAGGCCTCACCTCAGCCCTTTCTTCCCCAAGACCACAGTCCACTCCTACACGGCCACCCAAAAGACAGTGGATGGACCATCAAAGAAGGCCTGGCGAGATGGACGGGGTGCCCACCAGAACATCATCCCAGCCTCCACTGGGGCTGCCAGTGCTGTGGGCAAAGTCATCCCAGAGCTCAAAGGGTATGAGGACAGGATGCTGCAACCAGGGGGTGGGGACACACCATGGGAGGACTGAACTAGCCCTAATTCTTGGGGGAAGAACAGGGACTGGCCATGCCTCAAGGCAATGGGCAATGGAGGCAGAAGTGCTTGGGCTCTGACTCCCACCCCCAATGTGGGATTCTCCAGGAAGCTAACAGGAATGGCATTCAGAGTGCCAACCCCAAACGTATCTGTTGTGGATCTGACTTGCCGCCTGGCCAAGGGTGCCCCCTACTCAGCCATCAAGGAAGCCGTAAAAGCAGCAGCCAATGGGCCCTTGTCTGGCATCCTTGCCTACACGGAGGATCAGGTAGGCAGGGGCTGAGGAGACCTTGGGAGGCACCCTCTGTGGAGGGGTTGTGATTTCCACTTGCTCAAAAGCTGCTTTCATTGTACCAAGGTAGGAAATGCAGGGCTGGGAAAACAGACTTCCCTGCCTCAGGATCTTTGCAGTAGTTGCTCCTTTGATCTGGAACACACTTGCCCTGTTTGGCTACAGGTCTGCCCTCACTTCCTCCAGGTCGCTACTTCAATCCCCCTCCTCTGCAAGGCTCCCTCTCAGGATGTTTTCTGTGGTTATTTTCCTCACCAGAAATTTTATTTCATTGTCACTATTGGCACCAATAGCATGTACACTCCAAGAAAACAGAAATTTAGGAACTATCGTTTCACTTCTGTAGCTCCAGATGTATCCCTGTGCACAATATACGGTGCACAATACATGTTTAGTGAACCAAGGACAACTATTACTCCCATTTTTCAACACTTCTTTAGAGCCAGGTCATGCCAGATGCCTTTCTTTAGTTGATGTCACATGCCTTTTCCATGCATCAGCCTTGGTGTTGGGCCTTACTTGGTGCTGTGCCTGGTTTAGATCCTGCAGGTTACCCTCACACAAAAACCAGGTTCTCGTTTTAATGGCATCAAAGCACCCCCACTGTTGAAAACCTTTCTGTGGCCTTCCACCACTATAAGCTCAGGCCTATGCGCTTGCAGTTCCTTCCACTTAAGACACTGTTCTGAGGGCCCAAGTAGACGAGATCTTGGTAATCAAGACACAAGCTCATGGTCCCCTCTTAGATGAATGGATGGGCAATGTGTCTAAGAGCCTGAGCTCTGAGTCCTTCTCTATTACCCACCCTTATCTTTGAAATTCTGACGCACAGGTCGTCTCTACCGATTTCATCGGAGACTCCCACTCGTCCATCTTCGACGCCAACGCTGGCATATCCCTCAATGACAACTTCGTGAAGCTCATTGCCTGGTAAGGAGGAAGAGGTCAGAGTACTGGAAGGAGTGGGGGGTAGGCTGACGGGTGGTCGAGAGCAACTCCCTTGACCGCCTCTTCCTTTCCTCTGCAGGTATGACAACGAATATGGCTACAGTCATCGGGTGGTGGACCTGATCCGCTACATGTTCAGCCGAGAGCAATGAAAGGAAGGCCCCTCCTTTGCTGCGCTCGGAAGTCGGAATCTCCCCAGGAAGGACGGCGCGAGGCTTGAGGGCCTAGCGCTGCTCGGTCAGCGGTGAAATAAAAACCAAAATGCTCAAAGCTGCGCCCCTCTCTCTGCGTGGGTCACGGCGGGTTCTAGGCCGGGTTTCAGGTCCGCCCACGGACGAGGGTTGCCTCTRGGCTCTGAGCCGGATTCCACTTAAGGGAAACGGGGACCCGCGCGCAGCGTGGCCGAAAAGGTGTTTCAACAGCGTTCCACTCTGGAACCCTGGGAAGCGAGATCCGGACGCGGGCGCTCTGACGTCACGGCGCGCGACGCCTGGGTCCGGACTACTGCTCCCAGAAGGCCGCGCGCGGGCCGCGGCCAGTCCAGTCAGGTGGGCGCCAGGCCCCTACCCCGGCGAGAGCGCCGGTGGAGGCGAGAGACCCACGTTGGAAGAGGTCGCCTGGCGACTCCCGCGCGGGCGGGACCGGGCGGCCGGCGACATGACCTTGTTCCACTTCGGGAATTGCTTCGCCCTCGCCTATTTCCCCTACTTCATCACGTACAAGTGCAGCGGCCTGTGAGTGCGGGGCGGGCGCGGGGCGGAGAGGGCGCGGGGCCCAGGCCGACCCCTCACCGCCCGCTTCTCCAGGTCTGAGTACAACGCCTTCTGGAAATGCGTCCAGGCCGGGGTCACCTACCTCTTTGTGCAGCTATGCAAGGTGAGGGCCGCCCGGACCCCACGTGTCTGGCCCCCACGCTCTCCAGACCCAGGGACCCGGCTCTGCCGCTGTCCAAACCCCACCGTGGGATCGCTTTCAGGACTCCGCATAGGTCCCTTGGAGTATGGACCCCAGAAGGGGTGGAACCGGAGATGAGGTCTTGAAGCAACTTTTTCTTAGCACTTTTCGGTAAAAATTGAGAAAACCTCGGTTGTAGGATTGGCACAGAGGTTTTTTGGTATGGTAAAGAGAGATAACTAACCCCGCCGCGTGTCACACGCGGCTGGTAGCACTTCCTGGGTTGCCACCCCAGCACCTCTAGACCTTATACCCCCTGTGAATTCCCAGCCCCCACAGACACAGACATCTACCTTCTATCTCCCGTAGCCCTGTGATCTTGCCACTCTCTCCCAGAAAGACCCCTGGAATCTATAGTGTCCCGCTTTTCACAGGAACATTAACTTCCCACAAAACACATAGGTGTTTTTTTTTCCCCCCTCACCTTGAGGTGACCTTTCTGCCTTCTGTTCTCAGATGCTGTTCTTGGCCACTTTCTTCCCCACCTGGGAAGGTGGCATCTATGACTTCATTGGGGAGTTCATGAAGGCCAGCGTGGATGTGGCAGACCTAATAGGCCTAAACCTTGTCATGTCCCGGAATGCSGGCAAGGGGGAGTACAAGATCATGGTTGCTGCCCTGGGCTGGGCCACCGCCGAGCTCATTATGTCCCGGTGTGTGTAGCAGCCTGGACCCCATACTATCCTAAGAAAGGACACTTGGGTGGACAGGGATGCTGGGGGAGGGGGTGGCCTCAGTCTGGGTATCAAGGATGTCTGGGTACCAGAAAATCCCTCCTTTTGCCTTCTTCAGCTGCATCCCCCTCTGGGTTGGAGCCCGGGGTATTGAGTTTSACTGGAAATACATCCAGATGAGCATTGACTCCAACATCAGTCTGGTCCATTACATCGTTGCCTCTGCCCAAGTCTGGATGATAACACGTTATGACCTGTACCATACCTTCCGGCCAGCTGTCCTCCTGCTGATGTTCCTTAGTGTCTACAAGGCCTTTGTCATGGAGTGAGCTCAGGGGGCTTTGAGGCTGGGTCCAAATGAGGGTGGGTTTTCTGGTCTCCTTTCCTCATTGTGATGTTTCCCCACAGGACCTTCGTCCACCTCTGCTCCCTGGGCAGCTGGACAGCACTGCTGGCCCGAGCAGTGGTAACAGGGCTGCTAGCCCTCAGCACTTTGGCCCTGTATGTCGCCGTTGTCAATGTGCACTCCTAGGACTGGTGACCTTTTCCCTGCCTCTCTCCAGGTTGTTTTAGTGAAGTAAACAGTATTTGGAAAGTTGTTTCTGCCTCTGTTTCTCTCAAGAACTGTCTCCCTATACTATGTCCGCCTAGGTCCTAGAGACCCTTATTCTGGCTTTGGAACCAGGCAGACAAGCTGGGATGCTAGTCAGTCCTCTGACATTTCCTCTGTCCTCACAGTTCCTAGACTCCTGGTTTTCAAGTATAGATGAAGAGCTTAAAATAGATGACCTTTGAATAGCCACAGAGGCCTGGGAACAGTTGATAGAGGGGAGCTAGAATCCAAGAGAGGGCTCTTGAGGGCTCCTCTTCCTCTCCTCACACCTTCAACTGGTCCCTCTCCCACCTGGACTCTTCCCTGGCTAGTTACCTCTAAGGTTCCCAGCCCCAGTCTCATCCTCCAATCCATCCTCTAAGTGACAGCCTGTAGGGGGGGTGGTGTTTCAGTCTGTAACCTGTTTTGCTAGGTCACTCTTCCTTGCTTACAACAATTTGTGGCTTCTCATTGTGCCATAAAGAGTGACCTTTGGTTTTGACCTTTGATCTCTCTGGAGTTTCTCCCTGGGTTGATTTCTACAGTCAAATTCTTAACATCATTTAATCCAAGTGGGCGCATGGCACACACTTATAATCCTAGCAACTTGGGAGGCTGAGGCAGTAGTATTGCAAGTTCAAAGCCAGCCTCAGCAACTTAGCAAGACCCTGTCTCTAAATAAAATATAGAAAGGGCTGGGGATGTTGCTCAATGGTTAAGCACCCCTGCATTCAATCCCCAGTATCAAAAAAAAAAAAAAAGAGGCCCTCCATGGGTGGGCATAAGTGGGTTTGATTTTGATTTCTTGGTGTTTTGACTCAGTCCTGTGCCCCTCAGGTCAAATCCTAGCCTGAGTCTTCAGGGTGGAGTGAAGGGTTAGCAACAGCAAAATAGCACAGCAGTGGAACTCACCAGCTTGGACATTGTCTTAGATGCCACCCTCCACCACCAACACTCCCTGCCTTGGTCCACTGGACCAGCTCTTTGCCCTACCTCCTCGCCCTCCCTGAGGGACATATACCAGAAGTGGACCTTTGAATGTCAAGCTCAAGCTTGATGCAAATCCTGCCCCCTCAGGAAAGTATTCCCCAGCCCTAGTGTTCCCACTGGGATGAGACAGTTGCCTTCACCCTCCACCAAGCCTACAGCACCTACGTGTTACTTGACTTCAGTCCTAGGAAAGGATGGCTCTGTTCAGCCCTGCTATGGCAGTTGGTGTTTTCAGAGTGTGCATTTACCCTCAGATGAGGAAGCCACCCTGTAGCCCCACCCTTYTTCAGGGCCTAAGATAGTTCTCCGGTTTCTTGGGGGCTGGGAGTGATTGATCACCTCAGTTTTAATGAGGAAAGAAAATGGGGTACACCCACAGCCCATCTGGGTAGCTTTTTTTGTGGTAGTGTTACTTTCTCCCACACCTCCCTCTCATGACCTGTCCAGCCCTTTACACTAACTGAAATAGGTGAAGATTGTAGAAATAACCAGCTGTCTGAAATAATCCCTTCTTATGTAGGATGAAGGAGAGTAGAGTGGTTAGGGCTGAGGTCAGGGGAGCGCAGGCTGGAAAGGTCAGATGTGATGGAGAAGCCTGGGCAGTAGTAGATCGCCATGAGCCTGGCTGCAGTGATGAGAGCTGTGAAGGGAAAACAGGGTTTTTGGAGACCAAGAGGAGTTGTCTGACCCACCCTGGAGGTAGGCTGGACTCTGTGGAGAGGATGTGGGTAGGGCAGAGTAGATGTTCTGAGAACCCAAGAACTAGCTGGAACAAGTTCAGGGGGGCTTGTGACACTAAAGGTTGGCAGATACCAGATCACTGGAGGCTGACTGGAGAATTGAATGGGGAAATGGGGACCCATGGGGAGCTCTGGGAATGGGAAGGACAGGGTTAAATTTAGCTTAGGAAGCTGTGCTTGGTTGTTGTATGGAGGGAGATACGTGCCAGGAGGCCAGAGTTGGACCAGCACAGAATTGGTGAGGGCAGGAGGATTGAGGCTAGAAGCCAGCTAGAGAAATGGCGGTGACCAATGGGCCATGTTTCTGCTTATCAGTAGAGGACACAGTGGGGAGATGAGAGATGAGGAAAGGTACAGAGGAGTCTGGAATAGCACAAGTTTGGGACTTGTTCCCCCAGAGGTTCCCAGCACTCCCAGGGAGGATTCACACTGATGAGATAGTGGTGCTGCCAGTGAGATTGAACAGTAAATGGAGACAGGCTTGGGAAACAGGCCCTGGTCAYTACCCCGTATGTGGGCATCATTTCAGAGACAGAACTGAAGTCATCAGGGTCTGTGGTGAAGAGGAAGAAGCCCAGGACCCAGGCAGAGAAACTCATAATAAAAAGGGGAGAGAGATAAGCAAAGAGCAGTGGCCAGCAGGGGAGGTGGAGACGGGTGCTTCCAGCAGTTGGAGGTGTTAACTTCAGATGAGGAGCTGGTTGGGGGACTGACCTTCGCAGGGGCAAAGAGAGTGAGCAGGAAGAATGAGGGCAGAACCCTGTTAAGGGCAGGGGACAGTGGTGCTTAATGCAGGGAAAATTTGGATCCTCTCATCAGGAGCTCCCAGGAGGGAGAAGTGGTGCTGGGAACAGAAAGCCCAGACACAGTGTACTGGAGTGGCTAAAGGCCATCTCTAGAGGGCGCCTGCAGCCACATCCCAACTTACCTATAAATTTTGCAAACTTAGGCAAGGAAATTAGAAATGATTTTCCCAAGGAAGATTTGGGGGATGAGGTGGTTCTTCTGTTTTGGTTTCTATGTTGTGTTTTTCAGTGATGGTGATTGAACCCAGGGCCTGGTGCATGATAGGCAAGTGCTCTTCCACTGAGCTACCCCACCTCTGGCCTCCAAGGAAGGTTTATTGAATGCCTACTATCTGCCAGGCTGTATCCTAGGCCCAGGAGACTGCAACCCTGATAAATAGTCCCTGTACYGTAGTACTGTGAGAGGTCAGTGGCKCTGATGAAAAACACTTAAGACAGCACTTGGCACCAATTAAAAGCACAGCCAATGTGGGGATTATTTTATTACTATTAAATATAATATATGTTTTTAACGAAGAGTCCCAGGCAGCCCTCTTGCCCAGCCTGGTGTCCCAAGGACAAGCACATCTCACCAGGAGCAGCCAGTGCCTAGGGACTGCTTCCCCAGGAGGAAGGGAGCTTGGGGTGGGGAAGAGTAGTGAATAGAGCCCCTTTAAGGTTGGGGTGCCATAGCTCAGAAGCAGACATGGGTAGGGCTGGGACTCTTGATTATACAGATGATTTGGTCGTCTTCCAGAAGGTCCTGTGAGCCCCATGCTCACTGGCCTGTGCTGGATGCAGGGATGGCCTGAAGGCAGCCTGCCCTCTAATAGTAAAGCTCCTGGTCCCACCAGCCTGGGGGAGAGAGAGAGAAAGGAGTCTCAGAGCTGGGGGTGCCTGTCAGAGGGAACAATGGCCTCAGAGGTTATGAAATTGCAATTTGATACGGAGGGCTTGGAGGTCAGGTGTCGAAGATCAAAGTCAGGGCAGCACCTCTGAGAATGTTTCAGCCCCCTCCTTCATCCCCCCAGTTCCACACTCACTCCCAGGGCAACAGCGAACTCCAAGTTTCCGGATCTCATCGTAGACAAAGATGAGGAGACCAAAGGGCATGGGGACCAGCCACCACTGAAACCTAAAGTACAGGCAAGATGGCAAGGTGAAGGCCATCCCAAGGTCTGTGTCCCCATCCCTCTGCTTACACCTCACCACCCCTCACCGAATGGGCATGAAGTTGAAGATGTTGGGCATTCCGGGGCAGTAGCACAGGAAGCAGCCAATGCAGACCTGGAACACAATGGCAATCACCAGGATCCTGTTCCTGCAGGTGGGGCAGAATGAAACAGGCTCAGATTGGCAGACTTGGGATGAAGATAGACCAACAGGACTCAGGGACCAGATGGAAAACAGGGTGCTGGGTCAAGGCAGGTCAACTGTCAGAGGCAACAGGGGATGTTTACACATCTGACACTGGAGCAGCCCAGGCCTCTCCAATAGTGGGAGCTGGCCCTGTCAGCATCAGCCCTTTAGGAAACACGGAAGGGCCAGCTGAGAGGCACATGGGAGAGCAACTGGTCAACTGATAGGAAGGTTTGGGTATCCAGTGGTACTGGCATTTGCTGGCTTAGTGAGCCTTCATCAGGGTCTGATGGGAGTTGTGACCAGGGATGGGGATGGGATGGGGGCTGGGGTCAGCTAGGGACACCTGAAAAAGCCCTGCTGAAAAGCAGAGAGGCGGCGTGTCTTGCGGATGAGGACATCAGCGATCTGGCACATCTCAATGCTGATGAAGAACACAGTATAGCAGGTGTACTGCTGGTACAGGCGCTGTCCAAATGTCTGGACAAGAAGGAGACAAATTAGCCTGAGCCCAGCACAGAGCCTCCGCAGGGCACCAAGGTCCTGAGCCCTAAATGCACCTTTCCCCTCACATCAGGGACTGGGCTTTGGGGAAGGGAAAGATGCAGCATCTTGGAGGTTTGAGAATCTAGCAAAGCTTGGACAACTTGACACAGTAGGCCAGGCTAGATTGCTTCACAGTGAACCGAGAAGACAGATTTCTCAGGCAACCAAAAGAAGAGGAAAAGAAAATTGGAACTTCGAGGCAGGATTTGCAAAGTCCATTGACTCCAGGGGCAGGCTGATGGCAAAATTAGGGAAGTGGCCAGGAGGGCCTTTAGGGAACACAGGGCATATGCCCCACTTCCAGTACAGCCACCATGCAATCCCTTTCCTCAGCACAGCTAATTTTAATAGCAGCTAATTGTATAGGGAGCAGCTACTGAGCTCCAGGCAGCCGCTGTTCCTGTGTGTCATTTTCATTCCATCCTCCCAGCAACCCTATGTATTCTGTTATTCTTTAGAGCAAACTAAACACATCTGGTAGCCACGTCTAGCCTCACTGTGCTCCAGACCTTCATTGAAATGGACCACTCACACCAGTACTGAGTGTGAAGGACATTGCAAGGAAAATGACAGGAACTTCCACACC